AAGCTTTAAATGCATTTTTAAAATGTAAAATGTTTCTTGAAGCGTTAATTTTAGTTTTAATTCCAAACTAATAGATTCACTCTAATATTTTCAATAAGCAAAATAATTTGTTGTATTTCAAACTGAATTTAAAATGATTTGAATCCATTTTTCTCCTTATCAGTAAAGTCTATAAATTCGTCCAAATTGTCAGATCCGTGAACACAAAATAATTCTCTTTATTAAAAATCTTTCAAAAATAAAATACAATTCTATGAACTGTTTTTAGAGAAAAATTAACTGATGTGATGTTTAATTAATCTGAACTGAAACAAGTATTTCTTACTTATAGTTTAAAAAGTTTTCTTCTAGTTTTATTGAATTTTAAAAACTTTAACTTTATATTCTTATTTATGAAGTTGCTTGCTGGAAGAAAGTGTTGCTAAACACATTAAAAATAAATAAAAATGAATTATGCAGTAAGAAATAATTATAATAAAATCATTATAACAGTTATCATTATTCGATTCACTATTTTCTGACCAATGAGAATCAACCTCAAATTTTCTTCTACCACATACAAATATTTGACACCTTCCCTAATCAGTGAACACAAGGTTTGACGAAAATTTCTGAACAAAACAATATCACGTTAACCTCTTAACACTCATAACCAACATTCATATTATAGCTCTCCTACAGATTTTATAAATTTTCCGATAAGTTTTCCATTTATTATATGTTCTTTTCTTATTTTCTGGTAATGTCGTGTATGTGCATCCGTATTTACAAAAACCCAGACGTTTATACACACAAACAAATTTAAAATTCTTTTTAAAATACAGAGATCGTGGAATTTTAGCGCGATTTTCAATTTATGATTAGTAAATATAGTTTTAATTTAATAAAAATATCACTTGGATACCACAAATTAATTAAAGAATTTTAAAATATTTAAAAGTTTATAAATTGTTCCAAGGAAATTTTTTGAAAATGTAAACAGTTCTTGTAAAATTTAATTATTCATCGAATAACATTTGTTTGTTTTCTACAAGACGGAATCTTATTGGTCCGAAAAATTTTATTTTCTCTGAGGACTTATGTAAACATTAAGCGATACATAAGAGAATAATTTCCTAAAATTATTTAAGTTACAGGTAATACGTGTAAAAAAAATGGTTTCATAAAGATTTTCTAGAATGGAAACATTAAAAAATAATGATGTTCATTGCTGAATAAGTTCTAAAATATTAATTAAAATCCAACATTTTTTTTTAATTTTTACAAGGATTTCATTTTCCAATTCCATGAGTTTTCAATACAAAAACATATGCTCAAATTTCTCGTACAAGTTTAAAGTCACGCTTAACGCTAAAAAAATCAAGATTTTTAACCATAATTTTCTAAGTTTTTAAAGAGGACAATTTTTACATTAAAAATTATTTGATATTTTACTTTAATAACGATACAAACATTTTGATAAACTTTTCTTTTTATTATATTTTGGACATTTTTTATCATGTATCCTTTCTTTTTAGCAATTTTTTAGGAATGTCTAAAATCAAGGTTAAAATTGAAATGACTTCGGTCTTATAATCTTAACTATTAAAAAAAAACGTTTATTTTTATTGTACTATATTTTGTTTTTAATTCAAAGATTTATTGAGATGAATCTTCTTATAAATGGATTTGACACAGAAATTAGTCATGTCTTGTCGTGTCATATTTATAATGACATAAAATACATATGATATTATTTATTATGTCTTTATTTATTTATTTTTGACATTTTATTCAGTCTATTATGAAACGGAAACAAACTATACATTACTTTTCTTGATGTCATGTTAAATCATATTTATAATGACCTAAAACAAAGCATATATCGTAAATCTAGCAATAAAAATGATCTGATAAATCTCTATCTTCACCACAAGCTCTACAACTACAGGATTGGCTAAATTTTCACTTCTTTGCTTAGCCGTATTTCTTACAATTCTTCCTGCAGGGTCTGCCATAAATCAGTCATTGCGTCGGTTTCCTCGACTTAATATTATCGCCGATGATCTTCCATATATGTTCAGTTGGTGCACTTCAGGCAGATGATGCAATAATCTCAGCCCTTAGCAGTTTCGAAGAATGGTTTAATCTTTTTTTTTTCTTTTGATTATGCCATCAGGGACTATCTTGCATCTTTGAGAAGAAACATGTTTTTTCAGTAATATTCTTGTTCACTAAAGCATGCGCTATAAATTGTTATATATTTGTATCTATAATGATGGGAATATATTTTATTATTGTCCAAAAACTGTCAGTACGCTGTGGCCGTGTTCAAAGTTAATATTATTGAGTTTATATTATATTATATATAAATACCTACATATTCAATTAAAAATATTTGAAAAAAATCCTTGATAATGGCTAACAGAATAGCCGAAAGCGTTCGGATATATAGACCATTTGGAGAGTTTTCACACTCCATTGTCCAGAATAGAAAAGGTTTATACGAAGACAAGGAAAATGGAATAAAAAGCTTAATCGCAGTACCGTGTCAGTTGTCTTTAATGAAACTTCTATAAAATAAGGATTGCTGCCCAAATTTTTATTAGATACAATTTAATTAAGTAAATTTTGTATTCTAAATAAACAGTATTGGCCTGGATATTCGAGAAATTGCGAATAAAATATACGTTAAAAAGTAACGTATAAAAAAAATAATGTATGAAATGTATGTATGTATGTCGGACTTAATCCATTTCATAATATGTTGTCAATGTTCACGTTAAAATCCGTTTTGTGAGCAGATATGATCGTTCGGGAAAGATCGTCGAAGATTTGTTCTTTATAAACAGCAATTGGGACTTTGTTAACCATCTCTATTCTCTATAGCTAAGAGATATAGCACGGCACATCAATTGAAGGTGCCGAAGAGGACACAGGTTCGAATCTTGTCGTAGAACGCATATTTTCTACGAGATTTCTCGAGCATTCAAGACAGTAAATGTAATTAATACTGTTTAATTAAAAACAAAACATAGAGAATTTACTTGACTAAATTGATGTTATTAAAAAATAACGTATATATTTTTAATTCCGCGCATGCGCTGTATAGTAGGGTCAGTTGGGTAGCGTTTGTGAGAAAAAAGCTCACCATCACACCAGAAATTTGGAAACGGCATGCCGTATTGCTTGGTATTCACATCGGAAGCTCCAGTACGAACATTCAGAGTTTTTGGTTGCCAATCTAAGGACAGTCCAGAGGATATGAAAAGAGTTGGATGGGTCTAATGGTGATTACGAAGGTGTTTGGAGTGATCACTAGTGATGGCAAAGTTATGCCATCAGTGATCTTCCCACTGGCCTTTAGTATCAATGCGGAGGCATATATCAGTGTCTTCTAGCAGTGCTTATTAAAATACATCCATATAATTATTTATGAATTTGAATAGGTTAGGATCATTCCTATAACTCAAGATGCATGCATAAAACATTCAGTTAAAAGTAAAAATAAAATCACCTTTGGTAATGTAAATTATAAGAACACAAGAGATATTAAAAAAACAAAAAAACTTAACCTCAGTACCTTGTCAGCAGTTTTTAATGAATCTTATATATACACACAGAGAAGGAGAATCGTGCTTGTTTCTTTCCCGGAGATAGATATATGTGCAACTGTAGATTAAATCCATACGATTTCATGTGCATGCATATATATATATATATATATATATATATATATATATATATATATATATATATATATATATATATATATATATATATATATATTGAATAAAAAGCAGACCACGTTAAGATTCCATGTAATAAGCTATTTCACCATAACCCCTGCTCTGAATTTTTACATTGAGCTCTCTGGATATTATCCTCCACATGTCTACCCATACGGATTACCTAAGTTTGCATAAACTAACTATGTATATATATATATATATATATATATATATATATATATATATATATATATATATATATATATATATATATATATATATATGTGTGTGTGTGTGTGTGTGTGTGTGCTCGACTCTCCTCCATCTAATTACGACGTATGAGGGACAAGCAGTTCAATTCCTAGAAACCGACAGCCCGACAACAGCACATGAGATTTGATTATAGTGGAGAAGGTTTCCGTGCAAGACCATCAACACTTTTTATATATATATATATATATATATATATATATATATATATATATATATATGATAAATCCACATATACCTACGTTTGTAGTGCAACTTAAAGTTTCATGGTTTCCTAAGTCGTCAGGCACGTATGCGAAATAGGCCGTTTATTACTTTGTTTATCTTTACACATATATAAAAATACACACACACACACACATATATATATATATATATAAATATATATATATGTATATATATATATATATGTATGTATGTATGTATGTATGTATGTATGTATATATGTATGTATGTATGTATGTATGTATATGTGTTTTTATATGTATAATATTCTGATATGAATGCCTAAGAGAGTGAAAGAGAGAAAACCCAAGCAAGCGCATGACTTTCTAGAACCCTAGCTCTTTAGCCAAACGAAAACAGGATTATCACCGTTTCCTTACGCTCGAGCTGTGTTTGTCTCTGTAAATAAATATCTTCTAAGATTTTTTTTTTTCAAAATTGATAGTCTTTTGTGTTTATTCCTGTAAGTTGTTTTGTCTTGTGAACGGTGAAGTCAAGAACTTTCCAAGTAAACATTGTGAAATTACAATTGCTTTTCGGTTAAAAATATTCTGCGGAATTTACTTGTAATTAAATGCAACATACCCTGTATTTAACTCAAAAATCTGCAGTCTTTTAAACAAAAAACAAACAAAAAATAGATGCACGAAGAATATTATTTTAAAAAAAAAAAGAATGGCGTACATACGAAGAGCAGGGACTACAAAAAAAAAAGCCTTGTCGAAAAATGAAAAAAATTAAAAAAACAAAGAAGTCTTATGTAAGTAAGTAAGTAAATAAATAAATAAAGATAACTCAAAAGAAAGAAAGAAAGAAAGAAAGAAAGAAATAAAGAAAGAAAGAAAAAGGAACAAAAGAAAAATGAAAGAAAAGAAACTAAAAAGGAAAAAATGGAAGTATGAAAGAAAGAAGGAAAGTAAGAAAAAAGGAAAAAGAAAGAAGGAAGAATGAAAATAAGAAAGAAGAAATAAAAGAAAAGAAAGCAAGCAGGAAATAATGAAAGTAAGAAAGAAAAAAGAAAGAATGAAACTAAGAAAGAAGAAAAGAAAGAAAGAAAAGAAAAGAAAGAAAGAAAGAAAGAAAGAAAAGAAAGAAAGAAAGAAAGGATAGGTTGTAATGTTATAGGGGGTGGAATCCCTTTTTTAAGAGGAATCATGTGATCAGTATTTAATGCGAACCGGAGATAGGTCGGGCAAATGTACGAGCGAAAATAAAGGGCCATTGCGACAAGGAATGAATTCTCTTACTCTCTCCGTGTGTGTATGTGTTATGTTTTCGAATCAATGCCGTATAAAAGGACTTGTAATGGAGGTTGAGGTTCTCTGGTCGAATTAGCAAGAGTCATAAAAATCATTGATCCATTAGAGCATTGTGTAGAAAGAACGACAGCTAACCTGAGGGCAAAGGTTTTGTCTAGGGACACCACAAACTTCACATTCGGTTTAATGATCACTATTCACTTGTAAGAGAAAAAGGAAACTTTAATACAATGGCTTTAATGACACAAAAAAGAAATCCTCGCATTAATAGAGATATAGATTAACAAAAGAGTTGAACGTATATACATATATATATATATATATATATATATATATATATATATATATATATATATATATATATATATATATATATATATATATATATATATATATATATATATAAAACGATGTGAAGAACTGATATTGATAATTATATATATATATATGTTCGAGTATGGAAAGGTATATGCATATTCATATATATATATATATATATATATATATATATATATATATATGTGCAAATATGAAGGAACGAATTACAATGGAAAATATATAAACGCTTATGTACACATAACCTTTCATGGAACGATGTCGTTTGTTGCGCAGTCGAGATTTAGCTTATTTCAAAGCGCACTGATTGTTCAGCGTTCGAGACGAAATAATCCTCAGATATCTGTATAATAATAGCCATATATATGTACGTATTTATGAAGAAACCTACAGATAATATCATATATGGTAATAGTAATATTAGCCGTTTCTTTATAAGGAAATATTCATTGACCGTTCAGTCAATTCTGCTGTTGATTGAAATTTACACATATATATATATATATATATATATATATATATATATATATATATATATACATATATATATATATGTATGTATGTATGTATATATATATATAATTATGTATATATATATATATATATATATATATATATATATAAATTTTATCAAATCAATTTTTCCGGAAAATAGGTTTTTCAAGTCTCGTAGCTGTTATTGTCCTTTCCAGTATTGACGGGGTTTTCCTTCCTAACCATTTTTAAAATTTTTTGTCGGATATTTGCTAGAGATATCTCAATTCGTTTGTCATACTGAAATACATAATTTTCACCCTCCAAACAATTTAAATTATAAAAACACTTTTTAAAAAATCCTCAACATTTGTAAAACCTTATTATTTAGCAATATCTAATGGCACATCCTACCTAGATTTTGATGTGCCTGAATTAATTTATTTCCTGGGTATGACGATAAACTACATCTGGCAGCAAAGCTTCTGATCGGAAGATTTTGAGGAGTATGGAACGACTACTTAACTGTTGTTATTCCCAGATCCACCCTGACCCGATGTGGTAATCCCCAAAACAGTACATTTTTATAATAAAATAACCAACAATACCAATACATTCTTATGGCAAAATGGCATTCAATGCAACACTAAAAAAATAGATATATAAATACATTTTTATAGTAAACACTAAATTTTATGGTCTGCAAACTATATATCGAAAAATATACCTTTATTACAAAAGTATAAAATAATGGCCAAAATATTTAGATTTCAGCATTAAACAAGCCATAGAATTTGATATGCCGCTAAACAAAAATAATAAGCCAACAATATTTATTTATAGTAACATTACCAGCGATACCTATTTATAGTCAAATTACTAATAATACATATTTAGAGCAAAATGACCAACAATACATTTTATCTCTAGTTGAAAACATATAATTACGTTCAAAATATATTCATTTAAAGCCATAAAAGTCTGTTCAAAATATGTAGATTTCGGTATTATATAACCCATAACTCGATCCATTTCTATTTGTTGATATACCACTAAACAAAATCAACCAAACAACCAACATAGAAGAACTCTTTCATGATATTAGTTCATATAAATATCCTACCATTTCTTAAAGAAATCAAACTGAATGCAAAGATTCTTTATTGTTTTTAATGTTTAAAAAACAAAACCATTTGAAGTGTAATCAGATCAATCGATCATAATTTCTTTAAATAGATCATTCTTATATTTCCCGTGTCACTTCTGGATGTGTTCTTACATGGCCCTTTAAAACAGCCTATTCTTTGTAGCTCTAAGCAATGATTGACTCTATCCCAAAAGATAAAGGCCACCTTAAACTATAATATTTTTTTTAATAAATTCATGTACCCTGACTTTTCAAGACGTGGACGACCATGGCTCTTCACAACTTCCTGTCGTTTGTAGCTCTTAGTAAGGTTTGTATTTTTGCTATCTCCCCTAATCCCTGTCTCTGCCAACCATTTACACAAGCTTTTTTTGTGTAGGTTATTCCTTGCTTTCCCCTGTCTCTCTTGCTTTCAATATGTCTTGTGATTGTCAAGATATGATCAACAATGGACTTTGATAGAGACGAACAACAACAATGAAACTGTGCTGACAATCATGAAGAGAGAGATGAAATTTTCTGAGGCTTATAATGAGGAAACATTGCTTAGAGAATTAAATACTCACAGGACATATAAAGGTGGAAAAACAGAAAGAAACCATGAGTAACTTGCTTGGTGTTAATGAGTGAATGGTTACCAGAAAAGAAACAAAGTGGAATAAAAAAAAGGAGCAAGAACAAGAAAAGACAGGAATTTGGGGAGAACTATGAAAGCTCATATCCTTTAAAAATGTCATATAAAAAGTAAAAGAACAATGGTCGTGGTTCAAAGTAAAACCTGAAGATTTCAATCAGTTATCAAAACATACCATACATTTTTAAAACAGTCTGAAATATACCCTTTCGGGATGGCCATCAGCTGTCTTCTACGTTTTTTCTCCACGTTTAACAGTCCTGGGTATGTCCATAAACTACATCCGATAGGAAGGCCTCTGATCGGTAGATTGGAGGTTTTGAGGAGCGTGGAGCCACTTTTTAATTGCAGTTGTTCCCAGGTCCAACCTGCCCCGGGTGTTAGACACCCAGCTATGGGTAAATAGTGAACTCACAAACAGAAACAAAACAATATGTAAGTGTAAAAATACATATTCATAGTAAAAATACCATCAATACATTTTTATATAAAAAGGACCAACAATACATATTTATAGTAAAATGAACAACAATACCTATTTATAGTAAAATAACCAGCAATACATTTTATCTGTAATATACCATCGCGTTTAATATATTTTTAGTAGAAGCCATTAAATTGTTTTCAAATTATTTAGAATCCAGCATTAAATAACCGATAGATGTTGATATTCTGCAAAACAAAACGAAGTAAGCAACTAAATAACCAACAAGAATGAACTTTTATGGCATTAATCTAATAATATCTTGCAACTTCTTAAAGAAGTCAAACTATATTCCAAAATATAACTTCAACAAGATTACAATACAAAACACCCATTTCATCGCCTCTGGTAATTATGTCCACACAAACATGTTTATGCACAAAAGATGAGTATCATCTACCATGTATTCAACTGCGAAAGAAGAACAACATATATAAGATATTTATTACTTCAAAACTCACAAGAAAATTAAATGACTCATAATCAGTTGATATATCGTTAAATAAACAAAAAAATCATTAATTTAATTCCTTTAGAATTTATTTTTTTAATGAGATATAGGGAAGCAAGAAAACTGAAAAAAGGGGAAAATAATAGAATCAACACAGAATAAATATTGTCTTCGCTCGTACAACAAGAAATCAAATACATATCTGCATCCAGCAACAGACATACATTCTATAATAGATTTAACAATATGTGACCATAACCTCTTTCTAGATTAGAACTGGAAAATTCACGACGACACATGCGGGAGTAATCACTTCCCGATTCTTTTAGAAGACATATCAGATGATTTAAAAAAAAAATATTACCAGTAATATATTTTGGTAAATATAAAAAAAATAACATTTTTCAAGAAAAGTATTATTACCAACAACACATTATTACCACCAGTACATTTTTGAAAAAAATATGACCAGTAACACAATTTTGAAATTAAAAAAAAATACCTGCAACAAGAATCTGGTCGGCATTAAATAACCCATTGAGGTTGATATCCCACAAAAGAAACTAAACGAAATCAAACCGAAACCTGGTTTACAAACTGATTTCTTACAAAGAATACATATTCTAATCATACGACCCTATATTAAAATATTGCCGGTATTAAATAATCCATTGAGGTCGATATGCCATAAAACAAACCAAACCAAATATTAGGTCCTACAGGGACCTATATTCCTATATTTTTGCTGAAGTACTGAATTTCAGGATTGTTCTCGTGGAAGGATATCCTAGATGATTAAAGCTTTAGTTCGAGTATAGTGACATAATAATTGTGAGTCCAATACCTGGATCGGGTATTTAAGGTCTAGATTTAGTAGAAAAAGTAGTGGCAGTAAGTAAGAGGTAGTGGAAAAGAACGAAACAAACCATCCCAAGACATGAACAAATCCTGCAAATTGACATTTTCAGTCCGAAATTATTTGAAGCTTTACCGGATCAAGAGACACAAGAATAATGACAAAAACATGAGTAATTTAGTTGTACTGTAAATACTTTGATTCTCTTAGGCATGTTTAGTAAAATTGCTTTGCTGTTAAAATAATTAAACATGACTGTTGCAGAATAGAACTCTGTGTACTTCCTGCTCTTCCCTACTACTGAGACATTAGACTGCGCCTAATTATGAATATGGCAAGTAGGAATATTAGAGTGGCATTTGAGAAATAGGTTTTCATAACTTTTGTGTCTGAATGAGTGTATTGATTTTCTAAACGTTGCTTACATGTGGCACAAGGCCGAAAATATGGGGTACCCAAAGAGGATCAAACTCACTATTCAGTCGTAACTGTTTTAGTGAGACAAGCTTGCTAACCATTACACCACGCCGAGGTGCCCAATATAGTGATTTTTCTAAGCGCGGCTTAGATGTGGCACAAGG